TTCTGTTGATGAGGGCACCAAGACCATCTACTCTCAGCCTCTCCAAGACAAATGGCCCAAAAGCCCAAAACAACTTCTAGCTCTCAGAAGGACTCAGGCAAACTAGACTGGAGGCTGTAAGGGAGGAGAAAGCTGTGTTCTTGGCTGTACTGTGCTGCTGGAAGGGCAGAGATTGGCCCAGGAAGACCCCCACCCCCACCCCACCAGATGAGCAAGGCCCATCCTCAGGGAAGCTCCTTCTTCAGGCAAACATAAGGGACTGGGTTGGGTTCTACTCATTCTCCTCTCCTTGCTACCCTGGTCCCCCTGGGGCCATGTATACTCAGGATAATGTCCAACTCCAGCTCCTTGCTCCCCAAGGCCAGAAAGAAGGAAAACCTGGGCTTGGGACTTGATCCACTCACACTTCCCAAGGGAGAAATTTGCAAATGGCTAGGCCTGAGAAATTCGGTGACTAAGAAAGGAATCCAAGGAGACAGGCCACCAATTTAGAGATTTATGGACTATGTTGCTACAGACTGAATTGTGGTGCCCCAATTTCCACATGTTGAGACTCTAACCCCAACATAATAGTATTTGAAAATGAATATTTTGGAGGATTGTTAGGTTTAGATGAGGGTGGGGCTATCACAATGGGACTGATGCATTTATAAGAAAAAACACCAGACAGTGTTCTCTCCCTCTACCCCATGTCCCAAGCCCCACCATGTAAGAACATGGTGAGAAGGCAGAGAACCATTAAGCCAGACCCTCATCATGAGAAATGAAAGTCTGTTTTTTGAACCAGCAATCAACAAAAATGTATCAGGGCAGCCCAAGCAAAGAAGACACTAATGCTCACAAGCAGAAAAGAGAGGCTCCATGACCACACACAGAACAGAAGAAAGCAGAAGTCTGCAGCACAGTGAAAGTCACGGAAGAGACAGATGCAGACCAGTTGAGGGTGTTGTATGGATGGCTCAAGGCAAATGCCAGAACCCAACTCCAGGTCCAACATCTCTGTGAGAAATTTTAAAACACTGCTGTTGGCCCAGGCTATGGTCTTCAAAGAGAAATTGCACTGGACAAGAAGGATCCTATTCACAATATCAACAATTCTTAGGAAAAGGTATTCAATTTGCAATACTGGATAGGTGCCAGAGTTTGCCAGGAGCTGTACCAGGCACTGGGGTACAGCTTCAAATAAGACTGACCTAGTCTCTGTTCTTACAGAGATCCTTACTGAGCAGAAATTATAGATATTGCCCTAGGAATTATAGGTGCATTGAGCATTGCAGGAATGTCTTGTAAGAAAAAAACAAAACAAAACAAAAAAAGGTATTTTCATCCTCTTTTCCACTCTTCATCTTAGCCAAAAGGCCAAGAAGCGAATTCACTCAATTCTCTAATGAAGAGAACTTGAAAGTAAGTGTCAGACTTAGGACTTAACCCTAGTCTCAAAAGATACAACAAAATGTTATTTTGGAAAACTTTGGGAGTCCTCCATGATAGTAACCTCATAGCAGTGATTTACCCTAAGCATCCTCAAAGCTGCTTAATAATCCAGTTCCATTCTGTCATCCAAGAACATCTAAATCCTTCTTGAACTTTATTTATTTACTGCTTAATTCCATTTTCCCATTTCTGGCTTATATAACACTTTTTTTTTTTTTTTGACAGGCAGAATGGACAGTGAGAGAGAGAGACAGAGAGAAAGGTCTTCCTTTGCCATTGGTTCACCCTCCAATGGCTGCCGCGGCCGGGCACTGCGGCCGGCGCACCGCGCTGATCCGAAGCCAGGAGCCAGGTACTTATCCTGGTCTCCCATGGGGTGCAGGACCCAAGCACTTGGGCCATCCTCCACTGCACTCCCTGGCCACAGCAGAGAGCTGGCCTGGAAGAGGGGCAACCGGGACAGAATCCGGCGCCCCAACCGGGACTAGAACCCGGTGTGCCGGCGCCGCAAGGTGGAGGATTAGCCTATTGAGCCGCGGCGCTGGCCTTATATAATACTTCTTAAGAATGCATTCAGGAGCCAGCACTGTAGTGTAGAAGGTTAAGCCTCTGCCTGCAGTGCCAGCATCCCATAATGGGCACTCGTTCGAGTCCCAGTCCACCTCCCTGCTAATGCACCTGGGAAAGCAGTGGAACATGGCCTAAGTACTTGGGCCCACAAACCCATGTGGAAGACCCAGAAGAAGCTCCTGAGTTCTGGCTTCAGCCTGGCCCAGCCCCAGCCATTCGGGCCATTTGGGGAGTGCAGCAGCAGATGGAAGATATTTCTCTCTCTCTCTCTCTCTCTCTCTCTCTCTACTTCTCTCCCTGTATCTCTTTCAAATACAAAAATAAATCTTTCCTAAAAATTTCTTTCTCTGTCTCTCCCTCTCTCTGTAACTCTGATTTTCAAAGTAAATAAATAAATCTTTTCAAAAAATTTATTCATATGAGGCTAGTATTGTGTCATGGTGGGATAAGCCACCACCTGCAAAGCCAGCATCCCACATCTGAGTGTCAGTTCAAGTTCCAGCTATTCTACTTGGGAAAACAGTGGAAAATGGCCCAAGTACTTAGGCCCCACATGGGAGACCCAGATGGAGGAGTTGCAGGCTCCTGGCTTCAGCCTGGCCCAACCTGGGCCCATTGCAGCCACTTGAGGAGGGAAACACTGTTTCTCTCCCTGTCTCTCTACCTCTTTCTGTCACTCTACCTTTCTGTGTGGGAGAATCACGTCTTCAGTGGATCCTTTCCCCTCACTACGTAGTTCTTGCCCAGATCTTTTCCAGCCTCATTAGGTCATTCTTAAGAGCAGTGGTCAGATATGGTCAAAAACCCAGTTTTATTGCCAATGTCCTGTGCCAGAATCTGCCCACATATTCCCTCTAGCAAAGAGCAACTCTTTCTGTCTCTGCTGGCCCGGGAAGATCATGACCCCAGAGCCTGCCCTGCAGGATGGAACCCCTTCATTAATAACACCTTTGTCATCTTCAGGTTTCATAGTCTACAAAATTCTTTCATAGACATTTTCTCACTTTATACAACAATCTTGAGAGGTAGGCAAGGTAAATACTAGTATTTCCATGTTATGGAAAACAGAGATTCAAAATTAATTTACTTATTAAATTACTTGCCCAACATCATAAAACTACTAGTTGCAGACAGAGAACTGAACTGAATTGAATTCTCCTGGATTGTACCTGCCCTCTCCACTCTCATTCTTTAACCTTGAAGCTAAATGCTGTATCATCCTGTAGGTATCCCAGCTCTCTTTGTTTTGGTGTGAACTTTGGGTTCACAGCACAGAATGCTCCAGGTAAGAACCACTTCCTCCAGAAATCTCAGCCCTGAGTGACCCACACCTGGGAGACTAACCCTCTCAATACCTCTTCCCAAAGGAGGAGGAATGATCAGACCCTTTCTAATCTGCTTGTGCACTGGGACTTACACTGAGTAATGTGTAGTTAGTATAGTTCCAAGTTTTCACCTAGCACTAAACCATGCCCATAAAAATTCTCAATAAATGCTTGACAAATTGGTAGAAACTCTACTGTCTGCTTGTTTTCTGACTCACTGACTCACACTGCCCTCTGACGCACATACTCCTTAAGACTTCCTTTGAGGCCAAATTTCTGACAAACCCAATCCTCTCAAACTGCACACTCCAATATGATCTATTTCTCAGTGTTGGTATCCCAGTCTTCAGCATAAGACCAAGAGTGTGGAAAAGGCTAAGATAGAGCTATGGGACCCAAAGATGCTTAACCCAAAAGGGTCTGAAGGTAGAAAAAGGATAGGGCAGGTAAGGCTTCCAAGAAGAAAGTGCTTGAGTCAGTCTTTTAAAAATTAGACCAGCTGGGATCGGTGCTGTGGTGCAGTGGGTTAACGCCCTGGCCTGAAGCGCCGGCATCCCATATGGGTGCCAGTTCTAGTCCCGGCTGCTCCTCTTACGATCCAGCTCTCTGCTATGGCCTGCGAAAGCAATAGAAGACAGCCCAAGTCCTTGGGCCCCTGCACCCACGTGGGAGACCTAGAGGAGGCTCCTGGCTCCTGGCTTCGGATTGGCGCAGCTCTGGCCGCTGCGGCCATCTGGGGAGTGAACCAGCGGATGGAAGACTCTCTCTCTGTCTCTACCTCTCTCTGTAACTCTGTCTTTCAAATCAATAAAATAAATCTTTTTAAAAAAATTAGACCAGCCAAGAAAAAGGAGCAAGAAGAACCTTGGAGGCAAAGAGGAAAAAAAGGGAAAAAAAATTCCTTTTTTTTTAAGTGATCACTTCTTGTTTTTATTTATTTATTTAAGAGGCAGAGAGACAGAAACAGTTTCCATCCCTGAGTTAACTCCGGAAATGCCCATAACAGCCAAAGGCAGGAGCTGAGAACTCAACCCAGGACTCCCATGTGGGTGACAAGAACCCTAACACTTGTGCCATCAGCACTGCCTCCCATGGTCTACATTACCAAGAAGCTGGAATTAAGAAGTACTGAACCCACATGGTCTGATAGGGGATGTGGACATCTTAACTGCTAGGCCAAACAGCTGCCCTCATTTGCTGACTTTTAAAACTAGAATTCAAGGCCAGTTTTTTTTATTTATATAAGGTGAACACATTTGCTGTTTTTCATGTATACAGATTTAGGAGCACAGTGATACTTCCCACTCTACCCTCCCTCTTGCCCATGCTCCTACTCTTCCTCCTCCTTCCTTTCTTATTCTTTCTTTTAATTTTTACCATGACATAGTTTTAGTTTATTTTTAATCATAAGCGTAACCCTCCACTAAGTAAAGAATTCAACAAACAGTAAGAAGAAAAAAAAAAACACTGTTCCTCAACAGTAGAGACAAGGGCTATAAACAATAATCAAATCTCAAAATATAAATTTTGATTATATAAATTGCTTTTTTTTCATTTATCTTCATCTATTTACAAAACAAACTTTTTCTAGAATATTTAAAAAAAAGAAACAAGCACACAAAAAAGAAAATCTTACTTTTTTACTTAATAAATCATACATTTCCCCTTATTCTTACACATTACTTTTTTTTTAAGATTTATGTGTTTATTGAAAGCCAGAATTACAGAGAGAGATCTTCCATCTGCTGGTTCACTCCTCAAAAGACTGCAACTGCCAGGGTTGGGTGAGACCTAAGCCAGGAACCAGGAGATTCATTCAAGTCTCACATGTGGGTGGCAAGGGCCCAAGCACATGGGCCATCTTCTGCTGCTTCCCAGGCACATCTGCAGGGAGCTGGATTGGAAGTGGAGCAGCCAGGACTAGAACCAGTGCCCACATGGGAAACTGGCATTGCAGGCAGCAGCTTTACCTGCTATGCCACAGCACCAACTCCTGGAGTGTTGTTTTGTTTTGTTTTGTACTTTCAGTCATAAATGGGACTGTAATGAACTGTTATTATTCAAAGCATACATCTATGACTATTTCTGCAGGATAAATTCCTAGCAGTGAGTCAAACACATTGCTTAATTACCATCCAGAAACGTGCTGAATAACCTGCTCAGGGTGACTAGTTTCCTCTTCAGTACTGCACATTATAATTTTCAAAATCTTTTCATATTTGAATAGGGTGAAGATGACATCCTATTACTTTATGCAAAGGGTTTTATGAATATCTAAAGTAAAATTTGCTCATTGATTTGCTTATGTTAATTCATGTATTTATACTCCTCAAAAAGTCCATTTTTCCAACATTCCACATTTGTTTATTTGGTGTCATAACAAATGAAGCCCTGCACTAACTACCATTTCTTAATGCATTCTGTTTACTCTGTACTTTTTGACCTTATAGTTTATCTTTCATTCTACTACAATGCCAAGAATCATAGTGAAAATAACTTAGCTTGTAATTCCCATGATCATCACTGGAACTTCCTAACAGATGTAAGTTATGTTGCTGATCTACTGTTCTCTGGTAACCTTTTGTAATTATAAGTTCATATTTAAGCCACTAGCTTCACAGTTTTATCTCTGGAAACAACTAAGTGGATGCCATATGTTCAAATGATTTTCACATCTAAATTGTCATTTTGTTCTAAAATATTTTGTGTGTGTGTGTGTGTGTATCACCATTTGACATACTGACATGGGTTGACAACCACCAAAGGTAATTTAAGTGTCCAGCACCTTGTCTAGAGTATGTCAGAGGTACCAGAAAACAACCAAATGCAAAAAAAATGCTACTGAAAAGAAGGAAAATCAAGCTTAAGGTTTAAAAAATTAGTAACATTACACAGAATCTGCATAAACCCTAGTACTACCTTCACTTAGTTGTCAGGAGTCTAATATTTCCTTAGTATTAGAAAAATATCTTCAGTGTCTATAGCATATGTTCTTCAGTGTCCATTCAGGAAAGTGGAGCCCATGTCAAGTGGTTCCAGGAAGACAAGCTTATACAGGGAACCAGCTAGAAAGATATTAAAAAAGGTGAGAGGCAAGACAGAGCACAATAAGAAACAGTAGGAAGTCACTACAATATTATCAAAACCCAGAGACCGGGGAAAATAGCGGAAAACAGAAACTCTATGCAACCCCTGAAGCAACAGGGGATGAAGTACTTCTTTCCTTTTTTCCTTCCAACTTCCCTTCTGGGTTCCTCAAGTGTAAAACTTAGAACCCATGGGTAAGGGGCCAGCGCTGCGGCAGCATCCCATATGGGTGCTGGTTTGAGACCCCAATACTCCACTTCTGATCCAGCTCTCTATTGTGGCCTGGAAAGCAGTGGAAGATGGCCCCTGCACCCATGTGGGAGACCTGGAGGAAGCTCCTGGCTCCTGGCTTCAGATTAGTGCAGCTCCAGCTGTTGCAGCCATTTGGGGAGTGAACCACTGGATGGAAGAAGACTTCTCTCTCTCTCTGCCTCTGCCTCTCTAACTCATCCTTTCAAATAAATAAGTAAATCTTAAAAAATAAAATAAAGAATCCATGTGTGAAACTTAGAAGCAAAGAAACTTTGGAAATGCATTCTACAGGGGCAGCCCTCACAGGATTAGAACAGAATGGAGGAAATAGGTATGGAATCTCAGATCAAACAAGCAAATGAGTGGCACGGTATACCAGCAAAGAGCTAGAATTCTGCCATAAGGAAAGCATTTTTACTCTATTCATGGAAGATAGGCCAGTGCCTCAGCCTCTCCAAATGCTCAAATTTCTTGTTCTTAAACTCTAGTTTTCTCAGGAATAGGTCACCCACAGCAGTCCCAGACTCGGTTATACTGCTTCTCTTAATCTCCATTTGCACTTTGAACAATGGTACTTGCATTTCGCCACCTTCGCCCATGGAGGCTGATCTAGATTCTAATCAGCTTTGAACGTTAAATACCTCTTCAATGACTCTGTACTTTGTACCCATTTCCAGACTTCTGACCTTTGTCCAACCCCATAGATCTGTCTGTATTTTCCCATTCCAGCTGTTCTCTCCTATCCAAATCAATGGAACTAGAAATAGAGGTGTAAATATATTAAAGTTTTAATGATAACTAATGTCCTAAATAAAGCTCATGAGCACCTTACTCCTGGGAGGAGTAAGTATAGGAGGTAGAATGGCATGAGCTAAATCCTTAACAGATAATATTTTATTTTTTAAAGATTTATTTATTTATGTATTTGAAAGGCAGAGTTATAGAGAGAGAAACACAAGAAAAAATCTTCCATCTGATAGTTCATTCTCCAAATGGCTGCAACGCCTAGGGCCAGGCCAGGCTAAAGCCAGGAGCCGGGAACTCAACCCAGGCCTTCCACGTGGGTCACAGGGACTCAAGTACTTGAAGCATCTTTAGTTTGGTGCACTAGTAGGAGGCTGGATCGAAAGTGGAGCAGCCGAGGCTTGAACTAGCACTCTGATATGGGACACCAGCTTCACAAGTAGCAGTCTAACCCACTGCATGACAGTGCTAGCCCCCACAGATAACATTTAAAGTCAATAAATGAAGATGGAGCTACATGAACATACAAATTAGAGTCCTGGAAGTAACCAGCAGAACCAAAAACAGGAAAAAAAATTGAAAAGAAGTAAAATGTTTTGAAAAGGCAGAACAAGGAGGAAAGACATCACAAGGTTCTAAATCCTTTATTCTATGGTCTTGATTTTAACCATCATAGATTCAGCACTCAGATTTTGCACTTGCTCTTTCTTTTGCCTAGAATACTCTTCGCCCAGATATATACATGGTTTGTTCCTTCAGTTCCTTTGGATTTTTGTCAAAATGTCACCTTCTCAGCGGTGCATTCCCTGCACACCTTGTTTATTCCCCCTCTTTGCTTTCTCTCCATATCACCTATTACCTTTGAACATAGATAGGATTTTCTCATTCATTTTCCTTCTTTTATGTGTGGCCCATTTACAGTATAATCTCCACAAGGGCTAGGGCACCATGCTACATGTCATATGTATGTACTGCTAAGTGAAAACAATTTTAATAACAAATAAATGTTTTAAAAGAATCTTCCCTTTATTGCTTGCTCATTTTTATTTTGTTATGTTTCACATTGTGTAGTTCTTGCAGGAGTAACTATGTCTAATGTTTTCCAAGTGGATTGCTCTTTTGTACACTGGTCCTTCAGACATTCCTTTGATTCTAGCCTGATAAAGCACCAGGTAGTCCAAGTGCAAGGAACTGATGTCACTGGGCAAAAATCAAAAGAGACTCCCTGAGAGAACACATCTACCAGTGAAGATACAGGTTTCCCAAAGAGATACTCCCCCGCCCCAAAAAAAATGAGGTCAAGCTCATTGCGGAATGACATAATCAGAAGAACACAATGAATAGGGAGTCTTGTTTTTTTTCTTAAAATAAATCTTTCAATTATTTAAGTCTAAAAAACTAAAGAATTAGAGATAAAAGTCTTGTTAACTTGTAGGTATTCTAAATAAAGGAGGCTAAAAAGTACACCTTTCAAGGGCCTCAAATTCATGGTATTCAATGTGTTCTTATCCAATTCCTCTTGAAAAGGTGAGTAATTCCTCATAAAGGAATCCGTGGATACCAAAATAGCCATTTTCTCCTCAATTCCTTCAAAGGACTTCACCTTTGACTTTGCTGGAAAATTCTTTCACTAATCTGAGTCATTGACACAAGTTGAGTAGATAAGACTAGAGCATGGACTAAGACACCCCATCTTGGTTCAAGATTGCAACAGTTAATTTTATGTGTCACCTTGACTGTCCATAGACTGCCCCCTTTCATCTATTTTATCATGTTGAACAGACTTTTTGTAGTGTCTCTTAACTTGTTGATCTCAAACAGGTGGGTTACTAATTTTCATATTTGCTTTGTTGATTCTCCCTCAGGGAGCACTTCCTGCTTTTGGGTTTGCATGTTTTATTGTAAATACATTTCCAGCAGGGATTTAAAGTTGGGAGCACCTATGGGAATGCAATGCATCTTGTGTTACAGAACAGTTCCTACAGAGAGGTTGGCACTTGCCTCTGCAAGTTGTACTGAGTACTACCTATTTTTATGTTATGTCTTGGATGAGGACTCTGGGACCATGTGGGCAAGTGTAAATATGAACTATGCTTACACAAGACACAAGCTGGCTCTCTGATTTTTCAATAGCAGAGAGATGTTTCCAATCATTTCCCTAGATAGGCAGACAGACAAAATTCTTCTAGCTCCATTTCATTAAGAGTTTAACACTTTAAGGGTTTTTGCTCTTTGGGGAAATCTCAGAGCTATTTCCTATTGTAAAAGGGCCCAATGCCACACCTTGTGTCCTTAAATGAACAGAGATACTAAAAGCTCAACTACTAGTCCCATGGGTCTATTCCAGACTGATTTCTTTCTAAGTTATTGTGATATCAGTCTATTTGACTTCACACTCTCTCATACTTTCTGACATCTGGGAAGTTTCATTATTTTGAACTTGGTTAGTGAATTTAAACATTCTGCAATATTCTGTCCAGTATGAACATGTATGTAGAGTGAGGAGAGAAGATAATAAGGTATATCTCATTAAGCCAGGTCACCAGAACCCAGGAAAAGTATTTTCATAAATTTTCCTGTTAAATGGAATGTGTATAAGGATACTTCAAAAAATTTGTGGAAATTAAAAATAAAAGATTAAATTTATTTTGGTGCAAAAAAACCTGAAATCTGCAAAGAGCCATCTTTAAAATGTTATTGGAAAGTGTATATTATGAAAAAGTATGCATCAGTTTCAAAAGTTTTTGAACCAAAATAAATTTCTCTTAATTCAATTTTTCTACAAACTTTCTGAAGCACCCTTATATATTATCTTAGCAAAATTCTTATCAGAAAACAGTTCCACTTTCTAAATCATTTCGACTCATTCCCTCAGTTGAAATTCCTCTGTTAAAAAGATGTACTAGTATGGGCTGGTGTTGTGGTGTAGCAGGGGCTAAGCCACCACCTGCAATGCTGGCATCCTATATGGCCACCAATTCGAGTTCCAGCTGCTTCACTTCTGATGCAACTCTCTGCTAATGCTCCTGGGAGAGTGGCTGAGGATGGCGCAAGCCCTGGGGACCCTGCATCCATGTGGGAGACTCGGATGAGGCTCCTGGCTCCTGGCTTCAGCCTGACCCAGTCCTGGCCATTGCAGTCATATGGGGAGTTAAACAGTGGATGGAAGATCTCTGTCTCTTTCTCTCTCTCTCTCTGTCTATACAATCTTATAAACTGCTTTTTTTTTTGTATATGACCTTGATTTTGAAACATTAGGCCATTACAGTTTTTTTGTATCACTAAAAATTATCAAAGTAACTAATTTTTGAGGCCAACATTGTAGCACAGCAAGTTAAGCTATGGCTGACAATGCCAATATCCCATATGAGTTTTGAGTCACAGCTACTCTGCTTCAGATCTAGCTTCCTGTTAATGTGTGCGTGAAATCAGTGGATGATGGTCCAAGTGCTTGGGCCTGTGCCACCCATATAAGAGACCCAGGCTTTTAGCTTCATGCTGGACCAGCCATGGCTGTGGCAGCCATTTAAGAAATGAACCAGCAAATGGAAGATCTCTCTCTCTCTCTCTCTCTCTTTCTCATTCACTCTTCTATCTCTCTCTCTCTCCCTCTCAAACTGCCACTCTGCCTTTCAAACTTTGATCAAAATTTAGTCTAGCAATTATAATGACCATGTCCCACATCAGAGTACCTTGGTTTGATTCCCATACTGACTCCAGCTTCCTGCCAATGTAGACCCTAGAAGGAAGTAATAGCTCAAGTAATTGGGTTTCTGTCACCCATGTGACAGACCTGGATTGAGTTCCCAGCTCCCAACTTCAGGCCTAGGCCAGCCCTGGTTGTTGAAGGCATTTGAGGACTGAATGAGCAAATAGGAATGTGCTCTCTCTCTCTCTCTCTCTCTCTCTCTCTCTCTCTCTCTTTCTGTGTGTGTGTGTGTGTGTGTGTGTGTCTTTCTATCTGTCTCTGCCTCTCAAATTA